TCTGCTAGAGTACTTCCCTCTAACGGAAGTCGTCAGAACCTTGATTTGAGTATGAATACCAACTGCAAACTGCTCGAGCTCGCATTTGATCGTCAGCCGTCATGAGGATCGCACTTGTCGACATTCAAGGCTTCACTCTTGACAGTGTTTTCCACCCGAAAGAGCTGATCATTCAAATTGGCCGTCAGAGATCCAACTTCCTATTCAAACCGCCTACACCGTTTGCTACCATTAGTGGACGTGACAAGAAAACTACACGTTATGTGGAGAAATCGTCCATGGAATACCATATGATGCTGGTGATGTTGAATATACGGAGCTGAACGACATTTTGGAAAAATATCTGTTGCATTCGGTTGAATGTATGTACGTGAGGGGCAATCAGAAAGCTGACTTTTTGAAGACGAAATGTGAAGAACTTGAAGTATTCCCAACTGTATACGATGTTGCTTTGTATGATGGAACACCCTGTTCCAGTAAAACCTACCAGCAAACTATATCGTACTGCCCCAACCACGCCAATGGAAAATATATGTGTGCCCAGCGGAACGTTGATCAACTCTACCAGTGGTTTATAAATGTAATATTACCTAAATGAAGATGTACTGTGTTTGGCTCAATAAACATTATGATAAGGATGGGAGTTTTATTGAAACACCTTGCATAAGTTCCATCATTTTATTCACGATATATGTACCCAGCTTTCATTAGGCCTTTCACAATCAAAACGAACGTAGCTGCTAATGTCAAACCTAGTAATATGAACATTTTATTAAATTCATTCTGTATTCCTGTTGTGGGGGCTCCTATAGTTTGCCAGTCGGTATCCTCTTCAGATCCACCGGAAAACATCAACTTGAGTTTGAAGAAGGAATTATTCGTCTCTGGTATCTCTTTGTAGAATACTGGTAGACATCCATTGTTCACCAACTTATTCCGCATCGCTGTCCACGATGATCGATTGCAATCTTCTTTCAAGTCATTGAAACATATCGCCATGTTCTTGACATCGTTGGGAACATTTGTATACAATACGTTATTCAAAATTGCTGTCAGAACTATGAATGCCACCCGTGACATTTTGAGGCTGGATGTATCGTCTCTGCTCAACAGGCACCTCTACTGCTGGTACTCTTCCACAGGTGCTGAAAACTTTATCCCACAAACTCAGATTCTCCAATTGATTCAATACTCTGGTTTTATCTTCGTACAATGTTATGTCTTTGTTCATCTGTCGAACCCGCTCCCCAAATTCCTCCAACTTGCTTCTGTACTCGTCCAAGGACATTGTAACACTGATTGAAAGGTCAAGTCTGAATAGTGGTAGTGGTAGCTACGCATGCGCACAGCTGATATAAGCTATTGGGCAGATTCGGCAAACGTTCTTTGAGACACATCCAGTATCCATGATTGAATGGCTCGTGACAACAACAAGTTTGAACATGTCTGTTGGATGACTCATCGGCCACCTGCGTCAGAACAATGGACCCATTGTTCTCTCACAGATAAGGATGATGCAATCGGATGAGGTTGTTACGTAATCGGACACCTGCAAACAAAGGCGGCATTGTTCTCGTATATTGCGTCGCGAATTATCCAATAGCCGGAATTCCAAGAAACGCTGACAGTGAGACAGTGGCATAGAGAGCAAAGGCGGCATTGTTCTAGAGAAAGGCTAGATAACATATGGCAAACAAAGGAGGCATTGTTCTACGAAGTCGAGATAAGGATGACCCATCGACCACCTGTAACATGCATATCGGGTGACCTTGAAACAAAGTGCTACCAATTGTAGTAATACCAACCTAAATCAGGTGAGCACAGTCAATAGATTGTGACGTCATCCACCACCTTTCAAAAAGAAGAAGAAGAATGTCCACGCCCATAAGCACTAGAGTCCAGAGTCTAGGGGGCTAAGTTCAGAGTACTTCCACGTGTCATTTCTTGTGTTCTATGTCATCTGTCACTTGTCTGTCATTTGTCACTCGTCGTCTGTCACCTGTCACTCTTTGTGTTCCATGCCATCTGTCACTCTTTGTGTTCCATGCCATCTGTCACTTGTCATATGTCACTTATCTGTCACTTGTCATCTGTCACTTGTCATCTGTCACTTGTCATCTGTCACTTGTCATCTGTCACTTGTCATCTGTCACTTGTCACTTGTCACTTCCGGCGGCCATCTTGTGACGTCACTTCCGTGCAGCCAACACCTTCCACCACAGGAACGGTTGTGACGTCACTTCCGGCGGCGGCCATCTTGGGCTGGTACCGGCCTAGGTACACTACTCACTAGGTAGGTACCGTCTGCAATGATTGATGTTCTGCAGTTCAAAATGGAATATCTGTCATTAATATTTTGAAACAGAAATGCAATCCATACTTCTTATTTGTGCACTTCTTGAACACATGGATGAAAGCAATTCGTCGTTGTATTCCAAATAGATTGACACGCAATTTTCAGAGACAATATGCTACTAGATCAGTATCTACCATCCGGGGGCTGCCAAATATATCACATTCTTCATAAACCATTAGGAAGGTTATTTAATGCCATTTAATGCAGTTTTTTAATGCTTTTGATATCTTGACAAATAGGCGAGATATTGCCTGTAAACGATAACTTGGGACACCCAGTATTTGAATTATGAAGGCTATTGAAAAAAACAACTCAATATTTTTGTAGGAATATTCATCAATTATTCAGGTTATGTTTGTGATTACTTTAGGAGCTCGCAATGGGAAATTCTCGGTCTTGTTACGTCCAGGATATCCTTGGGTGCTCGCAGAAAGAAATGCCTATTCATTTCCTGTTATAGATAACCTCAAGGATTCGCAATAACGAGGATTAAATCAAATCTGAGGCGAGATCTCCGCGATTTCTTTCGGACGACTCCAGAGAGTATTTTCCATGGTGACAGCCTATAGTGATCTTTGATACCTCGCAGAAGGATTTCGCATTTTGATCCTGAAGATAACTACTTAGAGATATCGCGGAGAGTACCGTGTTACCTGGGTGTGACTTCATATTTAGCCTCGTTTAAATGAAATTTTTCAAAGTCACAAGCAAATTTGAGATTAATGAATGATATCCAATGTTATTATAAGGAAGAAGGAATATAATTTCGATTAAACAAAAAATCATGCGTATTCCTTATTAACAATTTGTTATCCCTGCAGCTAGCATAACGCAACAACTTTTCTTTGTAGAAGTCCTCCAGTGATGAAGAGATGAATTCTTAGAGAGTTATTTGGCAACTAATTGCTATGACAATAAACAATAAACAACAATAACACACGGGAAAGCCAATGCCCTTCGCGCATATCAGCTAGGAAACGGAGTGCTCCAGTATGCACTCCAATCCCTATGCCGTGAGAGCGACCTGTCGCGCTTGCTGTATAGGGAACGTAAATGTGCTTACCGGACAGATGCTCTCTGCCTATTACTCTACAGAACATTTATTGATATATCATAGTATACAACAAGAGATTATGTGCGAATGTCGATTGACCCTTCACATTGATACTTTCATAGACTTAGATGATCCCGGCAGAGAATACCTAAATAGATGTTTTGTGATTAGGTACGGCCAGTAGAAAATGAATTGTGATAATTGTATTATGTTCATGTTTGCAACATGAATAGATATCCGAGATCGAGAGTAGAAATTATATGCATTGATTTCAAATATCATTATACAATTTATTCAATCCCGTCCACAAAGAGTCGATAACGTCCAGAGTTGGACGTACTCATCAGTACATCGGAATCGTACGTACCCAGTACGTCTAGAAATGGACGTTTTCAGTACACCTTGAAAAGGTCCCGGACGTTCAGACCTAAATCGGACCTAAAATGGATGTCCCCAGAACGTCGAGTGCTATATGGGTAGTGACCCAATCACATGTCATAAGTGAGTTATTTACTTGTCATCAGTGACGTATTCACTTGTCATTGGTAACGTATTTACCTATCATTAGTTAGGTACTATGAAAATTACATATATTCTCAAAATAATAAACTTGGTGAAAAGAAAAAACCTCTTGCATTCAAAAGAAATCAGGAAAAGGTTGGGCTGACGACAAAATATTGAGACACTAGATACCGGGTAAATCAGGATCATGAGCCGAGAAGATCGGTCCATCAGATTCACTGGTACACTTTTTTTACCTTCAGTGATGAAGATGAATAAGTGACATTCGAACTACCTTTCATACTCAAAGTAATTTTCTTCCATTTCGGGTAGCTATCCTCGGGAGTGGAAAAGAGTCCTGCATATGTATATGTAATAACAGATCGAAAACTCAACACCTCACAGCTCCGAGCGCGACACACAAACGGAGAATCTATACTAATATGATATAGCAGTTGTTGAGATGGGCACTTGCATGACTTGGAATCTTTATCTTACTAGCTAGCGGGAAAGCATGATGTTTATTTCACAAATGCTAAGATAATAATGAAGTCGTGGACAGTAGGAGTGGTCGCGTTGAGCGTGGGCACCCGAATAATATATCGGAGATGTCCGAATGGAGAAAATATGTATAACCACAGGTGAACTGTCACCTGCACCAATCGACTTGATAGATTGTCTTCATCGATGAGTTCGCTCAGAGAGTGATTTTGAATCATAAAAATAATTTAATAATGATGAGTATTCGTTCACTTAGCACTAGTTTAGTGTTCACTTATAATCAGCGGACTCAGAATACATATCGATATGGTTGATACCAACAAGTGTCCTAATTACTTACAGCAGAAACATTGTTCCAGAAACATTGTTCTGCCTACTTCAATTACCTTATTTTCCTACCGTTGGTAAGATTTTTTTTTTCTAGAAAACGATGTACTTGGCCGGGTTGTCTCAGTGTACTATTGTGAATAATGTGCAACTCATGGAAGGATAGATATACATATGAGAATGATACATTTCATATTGACGGTGGTCTTTATTTTTGTTTAAATATTACATTAATATGGTACATGATGAAAACAATAATACTTATATGCAACTCTCCTGTATCCGATTCGACGTGGTAACAACTTCGGGCCCCCTGTATTTGTGTGTAAGGGTTTGCGAACTAGGCATACTGGGCATGCTGGGTATACCCACTGTTGCCCTGCTAGGCCTTTGTAGACTTCTATAGATCTGTAAACAAAAATAACACTGTGGATTGCATACTATATTGCGAAATATTGGTGAAATATATTGGACATAACCTACACCTAGACCAATACGCGCCATGGGACAAAAGTTCATATCTATTTAGGCCCTCTGTTCTTTGTCTTACATAGTCACTCATGTTTCGAAGTGATATGAGTCTATGTCACGAGTTCATGATATATAGGGTGCTAATCAAGTATGTGCCAAATTTCAAGGGTTGATTTCTCGAGTGATTCCGACTCGAAAAGTTCATGTAAACAAACATGGTTCCGCAAATACACAGTTTCCAAGATACAGGGTGTCAAAAATCGCTTCTCCGAAAAAAACGCCAAATTATTTTATCCAATTTCGTTGAAATATTGCAGTATTATTTTTCTGAAAAAAGTTCGACACAAGCAATGGTCACATGAACTTTTCTTGTTAGAATCCCTTAAAAATCGCTCCTTGAACTTTGGCCACATACTTGGATAACATCCTGCATAGCGGTCTGTATATAAGGTGCGATGCGGATGATACAAATTTTTCAAATGAAGAGTGAGCACCTCGAAAAGCTTCTCATTGATGATATCCTTGAATGAAGAGAGCAAGAATCAAGATTTGATGGCAAGCACGAGTAAATTGCTCCTCAGGGAGGAAGATAAATAGAACCTCACATCCTTCTGCGTAAAAAGAAAGATGATTCGATATCTATATAGACTATCCAGTCGCAAGTTTTTGTGGGAAAACGCGACAGTAATGGTTGCCTTAGTGCGACCGTAGTAACATTGTTAGAGGTTGAATAGAACACAATAATCAACTTATTTAAGTTACACACAATTTTGAAAAATAAGACGATAGCTCAATTTCTTCAGTTTTTTACAAATTCATTCAACTAAAGTTGATAAAAATATATTTTCTCACAACTCGAACTATATATAGTAATATTATTGGGTTGGATAGAATATAAAACAACTTTAGTTGAATGAAATAATGAAAAATAAGTCGATAGTAGCTTAATCTCTCAGTTTTTTTCACAAATTCATTTGGATTAAGTTGGTAGGAGTATATTTTTTTTTTTTTTAAACACTTTTTATGTAAATGTTATTTTACCTATGAATGCCAACAAATTTCCAACGTAATTTCATGCTCCTTACCCCAGAAAGAAGAAAAATAGCCGTTTCTTTAATTGCTACGACAAAGATAATTCGATATGATCTGAATCTGAATGTAAATGTTATTTCACCTGTGAATGCCAGCAAAGTTCCAACATAATTCTATGCTCCCTACCCCAGAAAAAAGAAGAATTGCCGTTTTTTTTTAGTTGCTATGACAAAGATAATTCGATATGATCTGTCATAGAAGTTATAGTTATAGAGTTATAGAAATATGAATTGTGTACGATCACTTACATTATGATTGGAGGGCACATGTGTCCTTTCTTTGGCAACATTTCTGAAGTCGTACTCCTCTCCTTCATCTTCCATGAGATTATCTTCTTCTCTAGCTCCAGGCGGTTCGTACATTTTCATGAAACCGTGTATGGGACGCCTCTCTGCAAGATAAAATAAAAAAATAGCTGTCATTCAAATTGCATTACGCAAATGAGTAATGATATAATAGAGGGTGAATATGAAGATACCATTTTCTTCGAGAAAAAATTCATAATGCGCAGTTTGTAATTGAGTAGTCGATCAGACCTTTCGTAAAGCTAAATAAATTCCCTACAATTTGAGTCCAATGTAATTTTCGTAAATCCAATACGAACCAAGATACAGGACCTCAAAAATTGGCTATTTTCCCCAAAAAGTTGTAAATTGCAGTGTTGGCCCTCTTCTGAACGAAATTTCGGCTCTAATACTCACCCTTCGAATGTATCTATATAATGTATATAATATTGCTTCAATTCATGCTCATAATCAAGCGTGTAGACGCAATAGCACCATTGTTATCTTCAAAAAAACTACTATAGCCGAAATTTTGATTTTTCTAGAAATGAAACCTGACGAAAAGATTTGCTGTACCTACATATTTCAAGGAAACGAAAGAAAACAACTAATGTATATATACACTATATATCATGTTTTGAATAAAAACAAATATATTCATGCAACATTCTGATGAACCCATATTGGCACCTAATGATAATATATGAAATCAAATGATTCGAAGTGATCGATTGGAGAAATGAATCATGAATCTGTATGTATAGCCAACGAAGTCCTGGAACGAATTGGAAAGCGTGAAGGTGTTCATCAGTCCTCGGAACCTATAGAGTATCTAAACAATTCGGTTTTGCACGGTTCCCACGAAGAGGGATATCCTGTAATGTTCAGAGAACATCGTGTGAACCAAGCGAAATAAGGTAGGAATTGGTGTTCTTCTTACATTTCTGGAGATTATAATATGCCTCTAGGAACACCTCCCTTGGCAATGTGTTCCAGAGCCTCGCTGTTCGTTGGATGTACGAGTCTATGGAAAAAGATATTCTGCAGGTCTCCAAAGTGACCGCGAAGGGATGCGAAGCCTCAACTCGACGGGTTAATCTCGCGGAGACTGCCAAGGGAGGAACAATTGTTGATATTTCAGAAGAGCATCGTCCATGAAAATATCTATAAAATAAAGCCAGATCGCCAACTTTTTTACGGTGTTCCAGAGAAGTGAGTAAGTTTGTGAGCGAGGCATCACCCACGAGACGAATTGCCCTTCTTTGGACAGAATCCAACAGTTTCAGGGTATGTTTGGGTGCTGCACTCCAAATATGGGAACAGTATTCCAGGACAGGTCGGATCTGTGCCTCATAAATCATAAGCAGCTGACTGGAAGTGAAATAGCTCCTGGTAGGAAACAGAAAACCAAGTTTTTGGGATGAACTTTTAGCAATTGATCTCACGTGATTTTCCCAAGAGAGGTTATTGCTGATAGTAATACCATGCATCGAAATAGATGTCTACAAAGGTATGGTTACTCCTGACAAGCTTATGTTGGGCACAGTGAGATCGACTTTTTTAGAAAAAAAGAAAGCGGTATGGCGGATACTATCATCCGCGAAGCTGTAGTTCAACTTTAGCTCCTTAGAACTATATATGTTGCCTAGCAACATACCTATTTTTGTGTCAGTAGTAGAAACGTCAATTCAAGAGCTAATTTTGGAATTAAAATGGACGACTTTTGTGTCGGTTGCAGAAAAAATGTTCTTGTTGCAGTTGATATTGTTACCAGCCCACGACCTTTGGATATTTAACGAGTAAGCACGATACTTACCGACCATAACCTCACAAAATTGTCATAATCTGGTGAATTGAAATAAAGTGCTTGAAGAAACGAGTGGACCACTGAAATATTTGACAATTCTCAAACTGCCATATCTTTTTAGAAAATGAATGGATTTTCAATCGGAATGCAGTGCTTGGAAGATGCGATCTTTCTGTTCAAGATTTCTCGTTCAAAATTCGTCGGGAGTTTTTCTGACATTATACACCAAGTGTTCGAAAAAAGAATCCGTATTCCAGGGATTTTTTTTTTATTTTTCTATTAAGCGTTTTTTCCGAAAGTTTAAGCCAATATCTCGAAACGGTTTTGTAATTCTCCATATTCCTCATACAGGAAGTTGAAAATCGATGATTTTTTATTTTTAGGTTTTTATCGCATCATTTCCGATTTTGAAATTATGCAAATCACATTCAACGTATTTTGCCACTCTATACGATAGAACACATCCTAGAAAATGGATTCATATTGCGTTGAAATCATCGACAACTTCAACAGAAGAAGAGTTAATTTTTTTTAGAAATGTTCATAATTTGGTGAAATCGCCTGTTCAGGTTGGTGCTGCTATAACCCCATGCTATGCTAAACACAAATCCTTCATTTGGATCGATTGGTCTCCTCAGTATGTCGAATTGATTTCGTAATTTTTCAGATAAGGCAATCCAAGGGGGCGCGGGGAGGCCCTTCTGGATTTTTCTGACCAACTCATACAATAACGATGCTACAATGATTTGAAGATATTCCTGAGCTGACATGAAGTCGAGAAACCCATTTATTACAAGGTTTTTCATCGCGTAATCGAAAATCAATCGAAAAAGTCTTTTTTATTGTAATCACCACTCATTTATACGCAATTAATAACACAGCAACACCCAATATCATACATTAGTGTGAAGTTATCCACAAACCTTCATCCACAAATTCTGACGTAGGGGAAATTTTCTATGATGCAGCAATTCAATCTAATACAGTGTTGCCACATCAATTTTTTTTTATGAGTATGAGAAAGTACTTGAACGAAATATTTACAAACCAGTATGTTTAACAAAACTGGAAAAAGTCATTGAGTGCTAGATTGGAAAAAACTTGAAGAATATTCATTTTCTTGCAAATTACGGCGTGTTTCGTCATGAAATTTTCAAAGAGTGCTCATTACATTGAACGAAATGATTCAGTCGATAGAAAAAGTTGTGCCAACCCGTAGGCCGGGAACTATGTTGAAAAACTTGAAAAATATTTATTTTCTTGGAAACTACGGATTGTTCCGTCATGAAATTTCTACAGAGTGTTCATTACATTGAAAGAAATGATTCAGTCGATAGAAAAAGTTGTGCCAAACCGTAGAACGGGAGCTATGTTGAAAAAACTTGAAATATATTTATTTTCTTGGAAACTACGACGTGTTCCGTCATGAAATTTGCACAGAGTGTTCATTACATTGATCGAAATGATTCAGTCGATAGAAAAAGTTGTGCCAAACCGTAGGCCGGGAGCTTTGTTGAAAAACTTGAAAAATATTTATTTTCTAGAAAACTACGGCGTGTTCCATCATGAAATTTCTACAGAGTGTTTATTACATTGAAAGAAATGATTCAGTCGATAGAAAAAGTTGTGCCAAACCGTAGGCCGGGAGCTATATGTTGAAAAAACTTGAAAAGTAATCATTTTCTTGAAAACTACGACGTGTTCCGTCATGAAATTTTCACAGAGTGTTCATTACATTGATCCAAATGATTCAGTCGATAGAAAAAGTTGTGTCAAGCCGTAGGCCGGGTGCTTAGTTGAAAAAACTTGAAATATGTTTATTTTCTTGGAAACTACGACGTGTTCCGTCATGAAATTTGCACAGAGTGTTCATTACATTGATCGAAATGATTCAGTCGATAGAAAAAATTGTGCCAAACCGTAGGCCGGGAGCTATGTTGGAAAACTTGAAAAATATTTATTTTCTTGGAAACTACCGTGTGTTCCGTCATGAAATTTCTACAGAGTTTTCATTACATTGAAAGAAATGATTCAGTCGATAGAAAAAGTTGTGCCAAACCGTAGAACGGGAGCTATGTTGAAAAAACTTGAAATATATTTATTTTCTTGGAAACTACGACGTGTTCCGTCATGAAATTTGCACAGAGTGTTCATTACATTGATCGAAATGATTCAGTCGATAGAAAAAGTTGTGCCAAACCGTAGGCCGGGAGCTATGTTGAAAAACTTGAAAAATATTTATTTTCTAGAAAACTACGGCGTGTTCCATCATGAAATTTCTACAGAGTGTTTATTACATTGAAAGAAATGATTCAGTCGATAGAAAAAGTTGTGCCAAACCGTAGGCCGGGAGCTATATGTTGAAAAAACTTGAAAAGTAATCATTTTCTTGAAAACTACGACGTGTTCCGTCATGAAATTTTCACAGAGTGTTCATTACATTGATCCAAATGATTCAGTCGATAGAAAAAGTTGTGTCAAGCCGTAGGCCGGGTGCTTAGTTGAAAAAAACTTGAAATATGTTTATTTTCTTGGAAACTACGACGTGTTCCGTCATGAAATTTGCACAGAGTGTTCATTACATTGATCGAAATGATTCAGTCGATAGAAAAAGTTGTGCCAAACCGTAGGCCGGGAGCTATATGTTGAAAAAACTTGAAAAATAATCATTTTCTTGAAAACTACGGCGTGTTCCGTCATGAAATTTCCACAGAGTGTTCATTTTATCGATCGAAATGATTCAGTCGATAGAAAAAGTTGTGCCAAACCGTAGACCGGGAGCTAGGTTGAAAAATCTTGAAAAATATTTATTTTCTTGGAAACTACGGCGTGTTCCGTCATGAAATTTCTACAGAGTGTTCATTACATTGACAAAAATGATTCAGTCGATAAAAACAGTTGTGCCAACCCGTAGGCCGAGAGCTAAGTTGGAAAAACTTGAAAATTAATCATTTTCTTGGAAACTACGGCGTGTTCCGTCATGAAATTTCCACAGAGTGTTCATTATATTGATCGAAATGATTCAGTCGATAGAAAAAGTTGTGCCAAACCGTAGGCCGGGAGCTAGGTTGAAAAAACTTGAAAAATATTCATTTTCTTGGAAACTACGACGTGTTCCGTCATGAAATTTGTACAGAGTGTTCATTACATTGGCCGAAATGATTCAGTCGATAAATAAAGTTGTGCCAAACCCTAGGCCGGGAGCTATTATGAAAAAACTTGAAAAATATTTATTTTCTTGGAAACTACGGCGTGTTCCGTCATGAAATTTCCACAGAGTGTTCATTTTATTGATCAAAA